CCCTAACCCTCGCCGCCCACCGAGCTGCCTGGATGGTTGATCGGCGAGGGCAGGCAAGGTTCGGATTTCGCCGCCGAGCACCGGCCACACCAGACTCGGAGACAGATGACGACGGCGGGGAGGACATAAAACAGGGCTAGGATCGGGATAAATCGCTCCAGAGCGTTTTCGAGCGCTCTCAGAGCGTTCCAGAACGCTGTGGAGCGGCCGCGGCGCCCCATACATCCTCCAAACCCGCCGATTCTCAGAGCTTTCGAGTTATCCCGATCCGATTTTGTCCCGATCTTCGCGTCGATTTATAGAGGGCTCCTAGGTGGGGTCGTAGTAGATGGGGTCGGAGGATCTCGCTACATCGTCGATACATCGGCGATGCATCGGCAATGTATCGGCAATGTATCGGCGATGCATCGGCGACATCGGCGATGCATCGGCGACGTCGACGTGAAGCAAATCGGGCTGCACATCAAGCCGCATCGGCGATGCATCGGCGATGCGGCGCGGTCCTCCGACCCCATCTACTCCGACCCCATCTCAGAGGCCTAGATTTCAGGACAGGGGAGGGGGAGAACGAACGACGAACGAACGAACGAACGAGGCGACAGGGGAGAACGAACGACGAGGCGACAGGGGAGAACGAACGACGAGGCGACAGGGGAGAACGAACGACGCTGGGCACCTGGGGGGAGAACGAACGACGAGGCGACAGGGGAGGGGGCCCGTAGGGCCTCCAGCGCTGGCCCGCGCGACTGGCCTCTCCTCGGGCGGAGCGGCCCGTTCGCAGCCCTCGTGCTGCGCCGAACGCACCGGCCCAGATGTGTTGATTTACGGCAGGTTCGTGTCGTGCCGACCCCAGCGTTGGTTTTTGACACCGCAGGGATCGTTCAACCTTGAAGGATCGGCCGCTGCCGCAACGTCCGATCGTTCAACATCGATCGATTCTGGGTCGCCGGCGGCGTTCAACCTTGAACGCCCGCGCTGGGGTCGCCGCTGGTCGGCACGACGCAAACCTACCGTACTTGCGCGCGGGTGGAGGGAGGGGGCAGGGCCTCTTAGAAGGAGGCTCCTTCTCGGAAGGCGCTGGACTTTCATCTACAGACGAGGCCCGTGCCTCCTGAGAAGCAGGGGGGCCTCTCTAAGAAGCCCTCCCCCCTCGACACCCCGTGGGTCTAAAGACACTGGCGGCCAGAAAGTGGTAGCAGTATTTCGCACAGGCCCGAGGTGGTCTGCTAGAGGCAGGTCGGCTTCGCCATCCAAATGACATGAGAAATAGCGACGCAAATATTACCTTTCGGAGGTCCGCGCGGGATTCTTCGATCTTCGCTGGAGCCACCCCCTGGCGCGCCTCGCGCGCCAGGGAGGGGGGCCCAGCGCCGATCCGAGAAATCCACGCTTCCTGCTCTTCGAAACATGCAGTCGGACCTAGGCCAGAAGAGCATCCTTCAAAGCACGAGACCCTCCGTCGCCCAAGAACATCCAAGCATACCCCCCCAGATGCACGAGAACGAACGTCCAACAAAACACGAAGAACGTTAGGGCACCCTCCCCGAATCGACCTCGATCTTATACCTCGGCCCGACCGTACCGAAAGACCACGGCCGGAGATGCCGGCACCGAGTGGCCCAAGAGGCCCCGGAGAGGGCCCCGCGAAGGGGGCTCCTCGGGCAGGCCGTGCGCAGGCCCACGGAGTTCTCCCGAGAGGGGGCCCAAGGAGCCTCCAGGCGGGGGCCCAAGGAACCTTCAACTCCAAGGGCCCCCAAGAGGGGCCCGAGAGGCCCCCGATCGAAAGGACCATGAAGCCTGCTCGGATGCTGATGTGTGTTCGTGTGCCAAGCGCAGGGTAGCTTTCGCCCTCCAGGGGCTCTTCAGCCGAAATGGCACTGCACAGAAGCATCGGATGAAAGGTCGCTCGCATGTACAGTTTTCTACAAAGTACAATATTTTTAGAAAACAGTTCTAGAAAATCCTCATCCGTGACCGGCCTGTCGAGCTCGATCGACCTGTGAGTGCGGGGAGATTCGTCCACCACCGTCGCACTGGGGAAGTCGGGCTTCGGAGGACTCGGCGGGCAGGGGGCACAGATGGTATTTGGCCAGCCAAGGGTCCTCCTTTCTCTCCGTCGCCATCTGCTTCCCCCTCGTGTGGCCCATCGTTCTCCTCCCCTTCTTGCTCCTCCTTCTCATCTTTCTCGTCCTCCCGCTCTCCTCGCCCTCCTCCTCCTCCTCCTCCTCCTCCACCTTCTCCTCGTCCTCCTCGTCCTCCTAGTCCTCCTCGTCCTCCTCGTCCTCGTCCTCGTCCTCGTCGTCGTCCTCCTCCTCCTCCTCCTCCTCCTCCTCCCTCCTCCCTCCCTCTCCCCCTCCTCCTCCTCCTCCTCCTCCTCCTCTCCTCCTCCTCCTCCTCCTCCTCCCCTCCTCCTCCTCCTCCTCCTCCTCCTCCTCCTCCTCCTCCTCCTCCTCCCCCGCCAGCAGATGCAACAGCCGTGGCACGCGTGCCACCTGTTTGGCCAGCCAAGGGCCCGAATCTCAGAGCGAGGGGGCCGAACGGTCGTTCACTGCCCCAAGGTGCATTGCTGAGGTGGTCGTCGTCGTCGTCGCCTGTCGTCTATCGTCTGTCGTCGTCGTCGTCGTCGCGTCGTCGTCGTCGTCGTCGTCGTTGCGTCGTCGTCGTCATCGTTCTCGTCGTCGTCGTCGTCTGGAGTTCCGCGGCGCGGACTCTGCCTGGTCGTTTGCTGTCGTCGTCCCACCCGCGACCCGCGCCCGCGACCCGCGCCCGCGACCCGCGCCCGCGACCCGCGCCCGCGACCCGCCACGCGACCCACCCGCGCCCGCCCGCTCGCTCTTGCCCGCACGGCGGCGCGCACAAGGTGGCATGGGGGAGGGGGGAAGGCTGCTGAGAAGGCGGCTGCTTCTTAGAGGACGCTGGCGCCTTACATCTCTAGACAAGGCCCACGCCTTCTAAGAAGCAGGGTGCTTCTAGGAAGCCTTCCCCCTCTCTCCCCATCTCCCCCCCGCCTCTGAGCGCGGCCGACATGCCTGTACGCCCACCCTTCTGGTGTAAGGAGGTTCGGGCCAAGGAACCAACGTCTCACCCGATCGATCTCACCATCGATCTCACTACGGACCTCACTATCGATCTCACAATCGATCCAACTATCGATCTCAATATCGATCTCACTACCGATTTCATCATTAATATCAGCATCGATGCCACCATCGGTCTGACTCTCGATCTCACAATCGATATCACTGTCGAACTCACTACCGATCTCACTATCGATGACATTATCGATTTCACTATCGATCTCACTATCGGTCTCACTACCGATCTCACTATCGGTATCACTATGGATCTCACGGTCGATCTCACTGGGGGGCGCCGACGGAACACCGACGGGAGATCACACTCCGTCGATCTCACTATCGGTCACACGATCGATCCCGATCGATCACGCTACCGATCTGACTATCGATCAACATATCGATCTCACGATCCATCTCACAATCGATGTCACTATCGATGCCACTATCGATGCAGCTATCCATCTCACCATCCATCTCACTATCGATCTCCCTATCCATCTCGCCATCGATGTCACTGTCGGCCTCCCTACCGACCTCACTATCGATATCACAATCGATCTCACTACGGGGCACCGACGCGACACCGACGGGGCACCGACGCGACACCGACGGGACACCGACTGGACACCACGGCGGGACACCCCCGGCCACCGCCCGCGGACACCACACCACGGCGGGACGCCACGGCGGGACACCACGGAGCCATTCCTCGCGCCCGCCACCGCAGCTCCGCCTCGCCCGCACGCACGGCACGAACCCGAAGCTGAAGCCGATGTCACGGTGGGGGGCTCCCCGTTCCGCTTCGATCTCGCACTCCGACCTCCGATGCACCACCCGCCGAGGCCCCCGAAGCAGCTCGGCCCCCCAGGCGGTTATGGACGGACCCAGCCTCGGCGTGCGGGCCCCCAAGGCAGAAGACCGCTGCGATGCTCTTCTCACGGCGCCCGTGGCTGCGGGGGGAATGCAGAATGGCTCCGCGTCGAAGTAGAAAACGAGCTCGAATCCCAGACATTCCGCGTCTCAACAAAACGAGACGGAATTTGGTCATGGTGTTTGGCCTCTGGGCGCCCTTACCAGGCCTCGGGACCGTCAAGCACTATACGGGATGAAGAACCCGTCCCGGGGAAGTGGTCGACAAATCGAGGGCCCGTGTCTCGAAACACTTGAGACGCCGGATGTCTGGACGCGGGTCCGCGTCGAATCTGAGAACCGGGTGTCGGCGTGTGCGCCAGATCGGGCCGCATCGGCACGGAGTCATGCAAGCCTTCGGGCCGCCTTGGGTCGTCGGAGCGTCGGTACCGAATCGGATCCAGCCACCTAGAATCGAAGAACACAATCCATACACATAAACTTTTGGCGCTCCGCGCGGATCCGAGCGCGCCAGGGCGGCGCCAGAGGGGGGGGCCCAGCGCGGATCCGAGAAATCCGCGCGGAGCGCCAACAATTTATGTCTATGGCGCTTGTTCTTCTTCGAGCCCAGAACCGTTTCCGACTCGGGCCCATCGCATCGAGATTCGGGTGTCCCAAAACCGTGTGGTGACAGACCTGGCGGTGACCTCGAAATCCGCAAAGACCTTACCGCACGGTCCGTCACCACACGGTTTTGGGGACCCTGGAGGCTCCAGTCGCCCGTGACATCCTCGGAGAACGACCCAAGTCCCCAAACCGTGCGGTGACCCCGAATCCCGGAGGAGGGAGGAGGAGGGAGGAGGAGGGAGGAGGGAGGAGGGAGGAGGGAGGAGGGAGGAGGGAGGAGGAGGGAGGAGGAGGGAGGAGGAGGGAGGAGGAGGGAGGAGGAGCCCACCGACTCACCACACGGTGTGGCCACCACCCCGTTCGGGAGCCCCCGAGAGATGGGCCCCGCGGACGTGGGCCCCTCGGGGGGGGGGGGATGGCGGGACAGCCGTCACAGGCTACATCAAGATGAGGAAGGAAGGAGTGGACCAGGCCATCGCCAAGGGAGGACAGAGGGGCATCTTCTTCCACACGCTGGCAAGGGAGAGAAAGGCGGCAGTGGAACCGGTGCGTTTCGTCGACCGCAACAAGGAAGAGAGTGACATGGCCTATCTCAGACGGGCCCTGGAGGAGGCGGAGAAGCTGGGCTGCTCCAAAGGCCTGGCGTTTCGACAGGGTGGCGGAAGCGATCTCGGCCTCAGGGGCGTGGAGCCCGCGGACCTCAGATCCCCCACGTGGCGGATACTCAACCTGCCCCGCTGGTGGGCGGCGTGCGAGGTCACGGCGTGGCTGACCGCCGCGGGATGGTCCCACCTGGAGATTCTCGCCCCGCCGTCAGGACGGCTGGGATGGCTCCTCAAAGGACGTCCTGGCGAGTCGCAACCACAAGCCAGTGGACAAGGACAGGAGGCGTGGACCATCCAGCTGGACGGCACCGAGGTGATGGTTCAACGCTACGTACGCGGTGGTCCCCAGGGGACCGTGCAGCAGCCGACGGCGTGCCGACCATGGACATGGAAGCCGCCACAGCCGGACGCGTCAGCAGCGCGGCCGGAGGCGCAGGGAGGGGCAGCCAGCAGGAAGGACGAGGGAGGCAAAGGACAGACTGGAGGAGCTGTGGGAGGAAGCCAGGAAAAGCAGACAGCTAAGACGATGGAAGTTGATGAGGAGGAGGCGGAGTCCATAGCGATCGACAGCGAAGCAGCACGTGCCACCAACGCCGGCAAGGGATACCTGGATGCCGTGCGGGAGCGCGCCAGCAAAAGGCAGCAGGAGGATGCAGAGGACGACGCGCTAGAAGGTGACGCTAAGGTGCAAGCAAAGAAGAGGAGAGAGGAAGCCAGGAAGACGCAGGATGAGGAGCTGAGGAGGAAGTTCGAGGCGCAGCTGCAGGAGGAGATGCAAGGTGCGCCCCGGACAAAGAAGGCTAAGGCACAAACAGTGCAAGCGAAATACAGGACGGAGCTGGAGGACGACACCTTCAAGGCTTTCGACTGGGGCACCGATGGGGCCGATTGCGGGTATCGGGCCATGGCGGCGCAATACGCGCTGTCGAAAGGAAAGAGCATGCAGGAGGTGGCAGACAAGGCCCAGACGCTGGCCCGCACGATGAGGGTGAACGCCGCGACCCAAATCAGGATGCACTCCAAGCGCTTTGAGGCGTATTGGCCATCCATCCAGGGGTCGCTCGGAGCTAGTAACATCGAGGGGGGCGCGTGCCCCAAGAACTGGGCAGAATATTTGGAGGCGCTCAAGAGGCCGCAAAGATGGGTCGATGGCCCGGGGCTGGCCGCGGCCGCTGAAGTTCTGCAACGAGTCGTGGTGGTGCACCAGTGGCACGAGAAGAAGGAGGGGGACAAAGCGAAGGGCTGGCGGGTGCTCGTCGTAGTGGAGCCCTTCGAGGAGAAAGACCTGCAAGAGGCGAGAAAGGTACGGCCGATCCACATCGGTGTTGAGGCGAACCACTACGTGGCCCTCATGTACAAGGACGAGGCGGAGTTGCACAGGTGGGTGCACTCGAAGAGGAAGGCGACGAAGGATAACCACGTCAAGCAGATTGCCAAGATCCCGCGGGCTGCGGGCGGGGCGAGTACTGCAGGCGACGGAAGTACGTGCTCGTGGATCCCAAAGCCGAGGAGGGGATCGGAGGGGACGGCGAGCGCCCGCTCGGTTTGCTCCATTCTCCCACGGCCCCGGGCCCCCCTCTCAGCGAGGAGCGAAGGCGGCAGGAGGAGCGCCCCGCCAGAGGGTGTGCAGACAGGTGGCCGTGGTGATGTAGCTACCCACCAGGCGGCGGCGAGCACGCGGGCGGCCACCAGCTCCAGAGGAAGGGAAGGAGGAGGAGGAGGTAGAGGAGGCAGAGGAGGCAGAGGAGGCAGAGGAGGAGAAGGCGGCCAAGGCGCTGAAGAGGCCGCAGGAGACAGACTACCAGTGGAGGAGAAGCTGGAATGGAGGTGCAACCTGTGCCCGGACGTGGTGGTGAGGGCCATCCCCTGCAGGAGGGACGATCTCTTGGAGAAGCCCCACTTCGGCGTCAACTACTACCTCGCGAAGCGGCGCAGGAGGCACATCCAGCAGAGGCATCAAGGCGAAAAGGAGAAGGTGGCGCCGATTGCGGAGCGGGGGGGGATCCCTCCTCTGAGCCACTCGATCCCGAAGACAGTGCGACAGTGGACATGCGGTTTCTGTGGTATTGGCCAGGCGTCTGGTTACCAAGGCATGGCTGTGAAGCAACGGCTGCGTCACTACAGAGAGGCGCATCCAGAGACGACGAATTCCGAAAGGAGGTCCGTAGGACATACCGCCAACGGCGGGAACTACGACAAGGGCCAGAAGAATCCAGGCAAGTCCAAGCGGTTGCTGACACGCTGGGCGGCACGCGTGGACAAGAAGAAGATAGGAGCTCACTACATCCGGGTAGTGAAGCTGACATCGCCAGGGCTCAAGGGCGCACTAGGAGGTCGCGGGGCTGAGAGGCAGACGAGGACCTGCACGAAGTGCATGGGCTTGTGGACGGGGACGGCAAGCCTGAAGATCTTGAAAGAGAACAGCTGTGTCCCTTTCAGCTCCCCACTCTCGCGCTGGAGGTGGATGAAGAGGCTGCAGGCGTGGGCACAGGCGGAGCCAGAAGACAAGAAGATGCTGCGGGACACCTGGTCTGAAGGGCCGGGCAAGAACCCCACGGAGCACCAGTGGGGCGCCATCGAGGCTGCGGCGGAAGCCGCCAGGAAAGCGAACGAGGAGGAGGACGCGAGCAAGGCAGCCAGATTCCGGGCGGCGGCCCGCAAGGAGCTGGCGGCGCTGCTCCCGAAGCGAGCTCGGAAAAGGTCCCTGTGTTGAGGCGCCGGCGGCGCCGATGCCCAACGCAGGAGGAGGCAGACAGAGCTGGCGAGGAGGAGGCAGGCAAAGCGAGGTAAAGGAGGAGGAGGAAGAGAGGAATGAGGACAGCAAAGCGGAGACAGAGGAGGAGGAGGAGGTGCAGAAGAGGCAGAAGAGGAGCAGGGAAAGCAAGGAGGACGCTGTGGAGGATGAGGGGGAGCAGAAGATGCCGGACAGCATCCGAGCAGGAGGAAGAGGAGGAGGAAGCAAAGCAGGATGTGCACGTGGGCCCGCTGGCCCTCGATGTCTTGCAGGAGGCAGACAAAGCGGGCGAGGAAGAGGCAGGCAAAGCGAGGAAGTCGCAGAGGGAGGGAGCGAGGTAGAGGAGGAGGAGTAAGAGAGGAATGAGGACAGCAAAGCGGAGACAGAGGAGGAGGAGGAGGAGGAGGAGGAGGAGGAGGAGCAGAAGAGGCAGAAGAGGAGCAGGGAAGGCAAGGAGGACGCCGAGGAGGATGAGGAGGAGCAGAAGATGCCGGACAGCATCCGAGTCGCCACAATCAACGTCTCGTCATGGTACCGGCATGGGCGGGCCGCGATGCAGGCCGCGAAGGATGCAGGCGTTTCCATCGTGCTCGTCCAGGAGCTCCGCCTCACCAAGGAGCAAGTTGCTGCTCAACGGGACCACTGGTCCAAGAGCGGCTGGGCCATCCACCCGGGCACTGAAGCAGAAGACTTCCCGGAAGGCACGGGGAAGAAAGCGTGGACACGTGATGAGGTCGGCGGCACGTTCATGCTTTTACGACACGGATGGCAAGGGGAAAGGCTGGCGAATAAACGCGCAGGAGGAGGAGAGGCAGCAGTGTATACCATCAGCAGCGGCACGGCGAGCATGACCGTGATCAACGTGCACAGGAGGTTAAAGGAGGAGGAGGCAGTGAAAGAGGAATGGGATGAATGGCTGGAGGAGCAGGTCGCTAAACGACCCGCCTCGGAGACCGTGGTGTGTGGCGGCGACTGGAACATCCACGCGGAAGACGGGGAGGTCAGCCACTTCACCAACATGCAGATCGGGGGCAACTTCAAGCCGGTCGCCCCCAGGCGCCCGACGAGGTGGAAGTCCACGAAGACGATCGACTGGTTCTTGGTACGGCGGGATACCCACCACACCAGGTTGCAAGCTCGTGTGCTGGACGACGTGATTTCCGATCACAAGATGGTGGTCCTCGACATGCCCCCCTGGCAGGGGCGTGCCCCAGGGACCCGCGGATGGAGGTGGCAAAAGGCACCCCCAGTACGCGTCCCAGACACAGCGGAGGAGAGAGAAGCTTGGACGGGGAGAATGGCAAAGGAGTGGCATTCACCGGAGGCGGACGCCACCGCTGGACCAGCTGAGAGATGGAGGTGCTGGGCCCGCAAGGCGGAGATCGCTTTGCGGCGGCAGGAGGCCCGGCACCGACGAGAGCCTCAGGCACCGGCCGCAGGAGGAGAAAAAAAGGAGGACGAGGAGGCTGAAGATGAGGACGGGATCGGGCTGATCCCAATAGCCCAGATGATGAAGAGCGATGCCAAGATCGTGCCCAAGCGCCTATCCAATGACGGCGCTGGGAACGAAATGGGCGGAGAAGAGGCGCAAGCGAGGAAACAGCTGAGTCGAATTGGCTGGCTGCGCGACAGGAGGAACAGAGGGAGGACAGAGGAGGAAAAGAAGGAATTCCAGAGGAAGGCGGCCAAAGCAGCGCAGGTCAACAGGCAGCACGGGGTGCGGCAGGCGTCCCGGGTCGGACAAGTGCGCGCTTGGGAGCAGATTCTGGACAAGATCTTGCAGAAGCAGTACCGCGAAAGGATGGCAGCTTGGAGGAAGAAGATGCAGGAGATGAAGGCACCGACCTACCAATGGGTCAAAGGGCAGGGGCATAAGTCCACGGACGCCGCCCTGAAGAGGAAGGAGGAGTGGCTGAGTGGGCCTGCTGCGGTGGACGAGCTGCGAGCGCACTACGAGAAGCACTTCGCGTGGGCGGGGCACGGCACGGACGTCGAGGGCTACCTCAAGACCTTCGCGGGGGAGTTAGAGGACATGCAGGCGATGATCGAGCATGCGGCAGGCTGGGCGCCCCCAGACATCGCCTCGGCCGTCGAGGATGGCAGGTGGTCTGCGCCTACAGCGGCGGATATGCGGCGGTCCCTGCACAGCATGCGGAAGACCGCAGCGGGACCCGATGGGTGGCAGGCGGCAGAGCTGGAGGTCCTTCCGGACGCAGCGCTGCAGGAGCTGATCGAGATCCTGGGACAGGCGGAGTTGCAGGGATGGCCCCCTGAGCTCCAGCAGTGGAGACAGGTACACTTGCCGAAGACAGATCCGCCAGAACTAGAGAAGATGCGCCCGGTGTCCAGCGTTTTCGGAGGCACAGGCAGGTGGGTTGCGAGGCCGGCGGCTGGAGGAGCTGCTGGACCCCATCCTGGAGCAGATGGAGGCCACAGCAAACGAGCTGGAAGGCGGGTGGCGGGAGCTACATGGACGCACTTGGGACTTCCAGTCGGCGTTCGACACCGTAGAGCCGCAGCTCGTGCAGCAGATCTGGGTCACGCTGGGCGTGCCTGCCTGGCTGGCGGAGGGTGTCGCCAGCACGTGGAAGACGCAGACGAAAGTCGTGGAATTCGGAGGATATGTGGCCAAAGACCGCATCGTGGTGCAACACAGCATGCCCCAGGGCTGCCCATGCGCGATGCTGGGGATGGCAACCGTGATGGCTGCCCCGGTGTGGAGGGCGAAGCGGGCGGCACCAGACGCGATTTTGTCGGTCTATGCTGATGATCGCGCGGCCGTCGGTATGACAGAGCACCAGATCGACAGAATTGAGGAGGCCTGGGCGGCGCTGGAGGCCTGCACGAGCATGAGGACGCACCGCGGCAAGACGCAGTCCTTCTGCATGGTTCAGGGCGCCATCTGGGACATGACGAGGCGAGAGGAAAGGGAGGAGGATGAGGAGGCAGCAAAGCAGGGAGACGAGGCAGAAGGTGAAGAGGAAAGAGCTGCTGGAAGACGGGGCAGAGGAAGCAGAGGACGAGGCAGAGGCAGAAGAGGAGGAGGAGGAGGGCGGAAGAAGGAAGGACGAGGAGGACATCCCCCGCCAGGGCGCAGGATAGACCAAGTGAGGCTGCTTGGTGTGGAGATCCTGATCGGCGCGAGTGCAGGGCTGACAGTGCGCGAGCAGACAAAGATTGAGGAAGGCACGAGGAGGGCGAAAAGGATCATCAGGTTGCCGCTTCAGCCGCACCAGCGCCGACAACTGGCGGGGGCATGTGTGCTCGCAGCGGTCACGTGGCCCTTGGTCCTCAGGAGCCCGACCCAGAAGCAGAGACAAGGATTGGACACTATGTTGTCGAGGGCCGTGAGAGGTGACCAGTGGCGATCAGGGGCCAGGCCGCTGCAGCAGCTCCTCCTGGTTGGCCACACTGCCGACTTTTCGCTGCGCTTGCTGGACAGAATCTGGACGCTGATGGACGCGAGAATCCGGCGACGCGGAGCCGCGTACGTCGAGGACGCTTTCAGGCAGTTCTGGATGAAGGACAAAAGGACCGACGGGGTCATGCAGGCCGTGGATGCGGCGATGAGAAAGCTGGGATTTCTCATGATGTTGGACGACCAGGACCACGTGATCTGGAAAGCGCCTCCAGAGGCAGATGGGGCCGAGATCTCCCTGACCTGCCCCAAAGACGCCAGGGACCACCTCATTCGTGAGGTATGGCGAAAGAGGCTGTGGGCAACATTCCTGGGCAGTCGCACGCGGCGGGACAGCGCTGCGGGACGGCACGCGCAGGCGCCCTATTGCCCACGGGCTATCCGTGCGGCGCTGGAGCTGACGAAGGCGTCAGACCACGAGATCGCGATCCTCACGGGCGCGTTCTTCAGCAATGCGAGACTGGCTAAGATCAAGGGGCTTCCGATACCCAAGTGCCTCGGCTGCGACTTGGACGAGGTCGACGACGCAGCGCACACCTTCTGGAGATGCCCGAGGTTTGCGCAGTGGAGGAGGTTCGTGGCGATCCCGCCGAACCCGGAGTGGCCGGTCTGGCCAACCAGGCTGCTTCGCGGCAAGAGGGAGGTGGAGGAGTTCAAACAGCGGATCCACTACATGGCCAGCGTCCGGCAATGCATCCTGCATCAGAGACATCGCCGCACGGACGCCGAGGGAGAGCAGGCAAGGAGGCCCAGGAGGACGAGAACCGTCTTCGCTGAGGAGGAGGAGGGAGAGAAAGAGGAGGAAGAGGAAGGGGACTGTGAGGAGGCTGAGGAGGTGGCCAGAAAGGCGAGGAAGAGAAGAAGGAGACAGAAAGCTAAGGAGGGTGAGGAGGTCGAGGAGGTGGAAAAGCATCGTAATAAGAGGAGGAAGTGTGGAGGGGGAGGTGGGAGAGAAGGCTGAGGAAGATCAGACCAGGAGCAGAAAGCAGCAGTGTAGTAGTGGGAAGATCGCTCATCTCGCGAGCCCTCCGCAGGCTCGCCGCCGTCTCTGACGGCGTACCGGATGTCCGGTAACAAAGTGCTCACACGGGGGGGGATGGCGGGGGGCTTCTTAGAGGCACCCCTGCTTCTCGGACGGCGCGGGCCTCACCTGTAGGAGGAGGAGGAGGAGGAGGAGGAGGAGGAGGAGGAAGAAGAGGAGGGGTGGGCCCCTCGGGGGGGCTTCTTAGAAGCACCCCTGCTTCTCGGACGGCGCGGGCCTCATCTGTAGGAGGAGGAAGAGGAGGATGAGGAGGAGGAGGAGGAGGAGGAGGAGGAGGACGACGAGGACGAGGAGGACGAGGAGGACGAGGAGGACGAGGAGGACGAGGAGGACGAGGAGAAGGTGGAGGAGGAGGGGGACGAGGAGGAGGAGGAGGAGGAGGAGGAGGAGGAAGAGGAGGGGTGGGCCCCTCGGACCGAGATGGGCCCCGCGGACGTGGGGCGCAGCCGCCGGGCATAGCCCTGGCCCGCCACGTGCTGCATCGCCATCGCGGCCGCCCTTCGCGCAGCCGCCTGCACC